ATATATACAAATAAAAAATTGTTATAAATACAAGAGTAAGAGATTGATTTCACATTTCAGAATAATCTCACATTTCGTATAAATTTTGTAATTTTTATTGTAATTTATACAATATATGTCATGCATAAGTGTCTTTTGATGCACGTGTAGACATCAGATGGGAATCATGCACAGGATATATAGAAAATGAGAAATAAGTCAATTAATATACATACACACGCGACGAGTCTTAGTTTACTGCGTCATATTTTTCTCTATAAGCACTTAATATTCTGTTTAAAGATACAACAAAAAAGTGTATATTTACAGTTATAACTGTATATTTACATAACATCGATCGATAAGTGATGGTCTCTTATACTTAGCATGAAAAAGTCGGCAGTGTGGACGCTTGGATTATCTCGTAAAATTGTATAGCTTACATGTACATGTGTGTATAATTCTCTCTCCCTCTCTTTCTTTCGTGGCACGTGTACGCGAATATTGCACAAATGTATTCGCAAAGATCGCAAGTACATTATGCAAGTATAATACCGTTTCGAGCGGGGAAGAATTTTTTTTTGCTTCACATATATATATATATATATATACACATGTGAAGAATAAAAAAAACATCCGTGTTGTTTTCCAAAATGTATTTACTTAAAAATACAATGAAAGTTTCAGTTCTGATGGAATGGGCAGAAATATATAGTCTGTGGCGTGTCGGTTATACTGTTACACGTTGAAAGAGATGATGCGATGGTATCCTGTACAAAAGTAGCTTGAACAAGAGACTTATGAACACTCAAACCAAATTCTTAGCCTAGGATCTTCGTTTACGTTTAAATCGTGTCAGTAACCAGATTTTATGTCAAACTTTTTTTCATGCTTACCTAACGTAGGGATGTAACGGATTGTATGTGTAGGCAATCAGCCTGATTGATTGTAAGACCCGTTAGCATCAGTAAGTGAATTTTCCGAATCGCGTCGAGTACCCGAGCGCGAAGAGGAGTACCGTACTCGCTCTCTGCTTACCGGTACTTGGGAAGGGCTTGACACAGTACAAGACGCAAGTCTCTCTGGAAAGCACGTTGCCAACGGGGCTTGGTAATTGTATTTAATAAAATTAAATGGACCTATACTTATAGTATTTATAGTATACTATGTGAACGCGCTAAAGTACTGATTTTGCTCCAGGCACCTGTACTTTAAGATAGTCCTTTGCCAATTTGTCATCGTCAAGTTACTATCTTGAAGCAAACACGTGTAAATTTTACAGCAGCAGCAGATTGAGTATAAAACCGTAGATTAACAGAGACTGCCGGAAATAATGATCTGTACGCATCACATTATGATATTGATCGGCTGTTGGACGCGTTACATATATATTTATGAGGAGTATTCAAGTTTTCTTTCTGCATCATCGTTTGACGGTAAGGGATTTCTTGTAAGTATCAACGTTACAACACGGTCCAATCCCCCATCTCCTTGGTTTCCATATAGCGGGATTTTAGTCCGTGAGTGGAAGCAGCCCTTACACTGCCTGCCATCTCCTCACAATTCTCATTTCAGATATTAAAACCTATCACTACTTATGAGAACGAATTCATTTTTTTTCTCTGATCTAACTGCGTTTTATTTAACTATCTCATTCGAAAATATTTGTACATTAAAACGTGGGACATCTTCTCGCATTCAAATTATCGTTACCTTTATTTAATTATTATGCTGCTATGGTACATGGTATAACCGCAATGTCTCTTCACCCTTTTATCTAACAGTCTCCCGAAAATAAGTAGCGGCATGGACATGCCAGTCGCAATGATTCACCGACTCTTGCACAAAGAGCCATTTTTTTAATTATCAAACCGACGAATCAATCGTCGTCCATGTGATCGTGTCATAAAAAATATTAAATATCTTTGTCTTTTTTTAACGCGAATCTGATGAATGTACAATTCTTACGACACCGTGATCATTATGTGGAAAACTATAAAAACAAATAAATACTGTCGACTCATTCTGCAACAGTCAACGAATCATTGTTATGAGTAGTCCACAGTAAAATCAAGATAAAATCATGATACATAAAATTAACTGAAACGCGCTCCAATTACGCTCAATTAAGAACATTCGAATAGGGAGAGTAAGAGTACTTATTATATAATTGTCACAATATGTAGTTCAGATTTTTTTTTGTAATTTTGCGTCATGTACGGCAGTTCTGGAGTTATAAATATATATTTATCTATATATATAATTGAACTCTTACCTTCTACAAAAATTATATACGACAAAAATAAAGAAAATTCTAGAATTTCTTTTATCTATATTTATATATCGACATACGACATGTTAAATATAATTTTTGAATTGAGAGTCAGTATACTTTTATTCTTTTACAATTGTGAAAACGAAGGATATATAGATATATATTTATATATAAATATAATATATATAAATATAATATATATTTTTATACATATATAAATATAATTTATATGCATATATATATATATGTATATATATAATTGGTTGAAATGAATCGAAAAAGGGTGATGGTGCCCTTACACTTTGCAAGTTGACTGTTCGATGCTCTCCCTTATCTATGCCCAAGCCTAAAGTGTAACAACCTCTCCGCATTATATTACGTTTACATAATATTATCGTTAATAATAAAATGTTTCTTATCCCATAACTTTATACATACTATGTATAATTATTATGCAATATTAAAGTCACATATTACTCATCCATACTACCTGACGCGAGCGTTAATCTTAATTCCTGTCTCTATACCAAACAGGAGCACGAAGCGGTATGTGTTACATCTATATTTTAAGATTTTTTTGTTTTGTTTTAGTATACATATTG